ACCCATAATGTAAAATGTATTTGAATGGTGCTCATAGTCTAAAGAATAGTTCAAAAACAAAATAAACAAAATACACTTCCATTCTGAATCTCTTTTGAATTAATCTCGTGCCCTGTAGCGAAATTTTCTTTCCTCTATGCCAGTAAATTTCAACGATTTTTGTTGTTGTTCTATTTTCTCAAGATGAATTTAACAATGGCTCCATTATATAAACAGACAAAACAGCTAAATTCTGTAGGCCAAAGACTGCACAGTGTGCCAAGACACACTTCTATGTGGAGAACAGGCTGCGGATGAGTCATGCTGTACAGGTGACTACTTGTGCTCTCCAAGCTGCTCAAGGTAGTGCTTAGGACCCTCTGGGAGGGCTCTGGAAGGGCACTAGGCTAGTCATACTGCGCATATGACTTCCTACCCCGGAAAGGTGAACTAGATTGCTTAAGCCTGAGGGTGGCAGCTTCTGTATAACAGTTACGGTCATATTAGAGATTGTTTGATATTCTTTAGCTCTCTGAGAATAAAATACAAATTATAACATAGAGCATAATGTTTACTTTAAGACATTTAACTTTCAAAAACATTTCCAAGATTGTATAATATATCAATGTAAGGATATACATAGCCTAATTTCACTACTCTAAATAGTACATATTATTTCCATGTTACAAAGAGAAAAATTGAGGCTCAGAGAGACTATTATCCAAGATCACCAAGTACCAGTAGAAAGTGAAGTGCCAACATAAGTTTGTATGACCTCAAATCCATGCTATTTCTACTCCAACACACTCTCACTCAAAAATGACACAAAGTTTACCATCAAGGAGCCTGGAACTCCACACAATAAGGCAGAAAGAAAAGGGGATAATGTTTTAGTAGTACACAATGACAACAAAGTCAGGGTTCTTTAACAATAAAGCAAAAAATGTTTTTAAAAAGAAAATGTAAGATCACAAGGCAAAGGTTAGACCAGAAAAAGAAAAGATTATGAAAAAGTGGAAAAGACATTTAGAAAAGACTGTATTTTAGGTTATGAAAATAAACATGACTTTGATATCAGAAGTGGAATGGGACACTTCAGGCAGGGAGAAGAACACAAACAAAGACACAAACACAAAAGGAAAAACACAAGGCATTTATGTAAAACTAGAGGCCCGATGCACGAAAATCATGCCAGAGGCTTGGCCCCCGCCGCTGCGACCGCCTCTGCCTCAGCCCTCGCAGCCCTAACTTCATCTGGAAGGTCATCCGGAAGGATGTCCAGTTTAATTAGCATATTATGCTTTTATTATATAGGATAGCAAACAGTTCAGATCTGCTGATGTAGTGTTTCCTATATTTCCCTGATAAGAATTACAGGGAATTCAACAAAAGTACAGCATCCCAGGCCCCTCCTTCCTTGTTGATTCTGATTCAGTAGGTCTGAGATGGGGCCTAGGAATCTACTTTTTTTAAAAGTACTATCAGTGATTTTTACCAGCAGGGAAATTTAAGAAGTATGAGGCTAAAATACAGAGTTGGCAAAGAGGAGTCATGAACGCAGAGGCTTGAAGTAACAGGCCAAAGAATTTGGACTTATATCTACAGTCAGCAGAGAGCAATGAGGCTTCAGAAAGACTATTCTGAGAGTATTGAGTGGAAGGGGAAGAAGAGAAGGGAGATGGGAGACCAGTCTGTAGACTACACAGCAGCTGAGGCTAGAGATAATGAAGGCCTAAACAAAGGTAGCAGCAATATAAATTAAAAGAAAAAAATAGATTTGAGATACAGTATGGATGAAAAACTGGTAGGACAATAAAACTAACTGGTTGTGCAGAGTAAAATTAAGAAAAAAGTCAAAACTGAATCTAAAATATTTTAGAGGATACTGATGCCAGGGAATAGGAAGAAAAGTCACAGGACACGGAGAAGTTTGAGAAGAAAATATAATGAATTAAGCCTTGGCTAGGACTTGGGTAATTAGCAGGATATTCAAACAGGGAGATATCCAATAGGCAGAAAAAGAAGAGTAAGCCAGCTGAGATATATAGATTTAAAAGTCAAAAACAAAAATGTGATAATTTTATCACATAGCCCATCCTATTTAAGAGTCAGATGAGAGAAATATGATGACACAATACTAGGGTTATACTACTCATTTGCTAATGGACTGTAGGTTGCAATTTTCTTGGCAAAGAGGAAAGCATTTACCTAGTCTTTCTAATGTTTAAAGTATTTTTCAGGTTTAAGGACAAACATAAAGAACCAGCTAACATTATCTGTGGCGGTATCCCTCCACATAACAACCTTGTAGCAAGCTCAAAGTGCTTTTGGAATATCAAATTTACTATATTCAGTATAAGTTAAACATATCTTTTTTTTTAATGTTGTGCAGCAGAAGGAAGATAAGCTTTAAACATTTAACACATGCTGCTGTTACAAATAGAAAAGCTTTAAACTAATTTCCTAGTGAAGACAATCTCACAGTAATTGTGAACAAAACACTTTCAATCAGATATTTAACTCAACTAAATTAAATATTTAATTCAAGATTGACAGGAAAAACTCCTTTGTCCTACTCTTGATCTCCAAGGCTGCTCAACCTAGAATCCAGGACCCTATGGGAGATAGGGAACGGCATGGGCAAATTGCACTAGGCTGCCTTCCACCCCAGGATGCTGTGCTATCAGTGAAATTTCTGGCCAGCCTTTTAAATGGCTTATGTTTGAACTAGGCAGCTTCTGCAGCATTCAAAATCATAATAGAGACTTAAATAGCTACAGAAACCTAACTTCAAATTTCTGATTCCACATCTTCTAATTACACAGTCTTGTAAAAGCTACATATCCTCTCTGAGTATTGGTTTCTTCATTCACAAAATTTATATGAGATATGGTTGTTACAAAGATTATATAAACTAAGTATTTGGCACAAATATTTATTAAATCAATACAATGCAGTAAAATAAGTGCTTCTGAAGGCCAGAGGCAGATTACCACTGAAAGAAATTAAGCTCAGCCTGGGTAGAAGTTGGGTAGGGGAGGGAGGCAGAGGTAGTCAGGAGTTGATAGTGGAGCTAAATCTTAAAGAAAAAACAACAATTAGCCACATAAAGGAGAGAGCATGCTTCAAGCAAAAGGGAAAATGGGTAGGAAGACTGTGGGGAAGGCATGAGTATGCAAGGAAACTTAACATCTTTAGAAAACATCAATGAAAGGGAATCCTGGCAATTCCCAGATCTAACATTTGTGGTTTTGTCCATTTACAAATATACCCATAGGATCATGACATAGTAAATCTTTCATGTTAATGAGACACACATTTGAATCATGAATAGTGCAATACTAGTGCACTGACATCTAATGAAGATGACTTTATTGGGGTGACAGACATATCAGTGACATTGAAAAGGAATGGGGAAAGGAAGTTGTCATGTAAAGAGGAATTTAATTTTGACACCTGAAGTAGAGATGCTTCCTCAAGGCACTCAGAATGAGGAAGAGCCCAGAAGAAATATTTAGCCTTGTCTCTTTGTTCAGAATATTAGTTTACAGGTGATAATTGAATCATAGTAGCAAACAGATCACTCAAGAACACTGAAGTCAGTGAGAAAAAAAAATTATGACCAAAATATTTCTAATACGTGCCCACTGTAATTCAGTTTTAATGCAAGGGGTATAAGTAGCACGCTTACTGTATGCTCAATGTTAGCCTACCAAAACTATGCTCAATGGTTAGGGGAGCAAAGTACATGGATAAAGAAGTAAAGACAAGGGTAACAATAATGTGCTTTTAAGTCAATGCTATTGTTAGTGTTGGTAAGATATAGGTGACTAAGTTAAGCAAGTAAGGCAGTGTTAGGTTATAGAGTTTTAATTACTACAGTAAAGACTTTGAACCTAATCCTTAGATCTCAGTGTTCGCTAACTTTCCAAAAAGGAAAACGTATCAGAATCTTGGGGAGTGAAAATACTTCAGATGATTTTCTTGAAGTATACTTATCAGAATCACTGCTCTGAACAATGGCAGGGCACTGTAAGGGTTTCAGCGATGAGTACTGTGGGGAAAGTGAGACTGAGGAACATCACACTTGAAGGCAAAAGGGAAGTATTGTGAGGTAAAAGGCCAAGAGGCAATATATAATCCAAAGACATGGATTTTATTGTGAGATAAATGTAGGTTCAAATCCCAGCTCTCGATAACTTACTGCTTCTGTGACTTTGAGCAAATTATAACCTATCTATACCTTAATATAAGCATGGATAAAATGGGGATAATAATAATACCTATCTTAAAGGGCTGTGATGAGAATTGATAAAATGAATAAATATATATAAATATTTAAATGAATATAAGAGCTTTGGTCTATCACTGTTTATAATACTAACAATAATCATTATCATCTAGAAAACCCATTAAACAAATAGCAATTAAAATCTGAATCATAAAGTTCTTTAACTTTAGTTCTAACTGACTGGAAAAAAAAATTCCAGGTTTAAAAAAAACTATCAATTTTTTTCTTTTTTTCCATCACCATTTATCCCCCCATACCTTCTTCCACCTCCCCCACCTGCCCCATGCTATCACCACTGTTGTCCGTGTCCATGAGTTCTTTTTAAGAGGACAAATCTTCTCAGAAGATGCAAATATTACTGACCATAAATCATTTTACAAATTAGTTCCATGAACGTTTACTGAATGTGCTCCGTGTACAGCCGGAAATACAAAAATGAGTAAGATATAAACCTTAATTTTTTTACAATTCAGAAAAAAGGGCAAATTACGGTTTTACCTGACTAACTCGATTTACTTCCTCCTCTTCTTCCTCAGCTTCCTCCCCAAATGAAAGCAAACTAAAATTTCTAATTAATAAAAAGGAAAAAAGAATGAAAGAAAATTAGAAAGAAAAAGTTAAACAAAACTTATAAATATCCTATTAGCAAAAAAAAAAAAATAGAGTAGAACTTACAAGAAGAGACACTTTTGTTTAACAGTAGACACTATTACTTAATATTCAGTAGAAATATACTAAAGATCTATATTTTCAGCATAATGTTATAGTTTTGGCTTCAGATCACATATGATTCATATACTAGACTAAACTAATGACCAAAAATCCATTCTGAGCACTACCATTAAATATACTAAGTCAAACATGACAGAAATAATTAAGCTTTTTATATTTATCAAAACTGGTTATCAAAATTGAGAATTCTGAAAAACTAATAAATATATAGACCTGAGAGCACTACAAATGGAAAGCAATTAATCTAGTGTCTGCCAAAATATGGCTTAATATATTAAAATTAATAAGTTAAACAAAACTGTCAAAATAGCCTATGGGGAGAAAAAATTAAGTTTCTTCTTTGAGCATTCAAACCAAAGATTTCCCAAGAAAAATAAATAATTTGTTATTAAAACTCTTCCTCAAGCCCTAGCTGGTTTGGCTCAGTGGAGAGTGTCGGCCTGCAGACTAAAGGGTCCCAGGTTCAATTCCAAGCAAGGGCACATGCCTGGGTTGTGGGCTTAATCCCCAGTAGGGGGAGTGCAGGAGGCAGCTGATCAATGATTCATTCTCATCATTGATGTTTCTATCTCTCTCTCTTCCTCTCCCTTCCTCTCTGAAATCAATAAAAAATAAATAAATAAGTAAAAAACTCTTCCTCAAATATTATAAAAATAAAAGATTTGGTAATAAAAGAGAAACTTCTACTTCAAAACCTAGATGCAATCAATGACTACCACATAATTCCCAATATATTTACTATGAATTAAAAACAAAAATACCCAACTTTGGAGCTTGTTGTCAAGATAAACTATAGAAAAAAAATATTGTATCGGAACATAGTGAGAGTGACCTTTCACCCAAAGATAAATTAGTCAAAATAAATAAATAAGTAAAAGGAAATTAAATACATAGCTCTATATAAAGTTATTTTGCCATAAGACATCAACTGCTTATTAAACTGTCTGCTCATATCTGAGAGTTTATGAAAACAACTTAACTTACTTATATTGTAGGGTATCAAGGAAAGAAATGAGTATGTATTAAATGCCTTACTACTGGGTATTTTCAAATTTCCCTTCTCATTTAATCTTCATAACAACCAGGTGTTGTATTTATTATAATCTCCATTTTCTAAGATGGGGAAACTAAAGGCCAAAAAGATTAATAAAGTTTGCTTTTTATTTACTGGGTTAGGCAGGATTATATTTAGAACTGTCTGAACCTAACACTTTAAGTACAATAAAATCCCTAATATGGATGCCATAATTCAATAAAAGAATCAACTGAAATCTAACACTCGATATCTATTTTAATAAAACAGACTAATAATGTAAAGAATACTGTTCACAAAATGCTGGAACTTATTAAAAAAAAGAAGTTTCTATTTTTTTGAAAACTATTCTAAGGAAATAATCTAGAATACAGAAAGAGCTTTATACTTAAAAATATTTATAAACACAAAAAAAGGAGTGAAAAGTTATATAAACATTGTCATATACTTCATATTTTACTTTCCAAGTTCCTTATACTGAGCATATATTAATTGAAAAACAAGTAAAAAACAGAACAATTCTCAATAACTCATTTATATAAGTAATTGCTGTAGTAATCCCTACTTATTTATATTAATACAGATTTTATATGGACATCTGAGGCAATACTTCTTTAGCTTAAGTTTAAGTTATACACTGTATTTGAATACAAGAAATGCCCATGCAGAATAGAATACACACACTCCTAATTCAGATATCTCCCTGGTCCAAACTGGCCTCCCCCTCACTAGTAAACAATGTTTACAAAAGGAAATGAAGTGAACTAAATGAATCAGTGCTGTTTTACAAACTGAAGAAAAATCTTACTACTATGATTACTTTGTGCCTTTGGGTTTCAATGTCTTTACTTTCTCCTCTGGTTTCTCTTTTTTCAGCTTTTTTATTTCCCTTGGAATGATGTCATCAAAAGGATTAAACAAAACCTATGAAAAGAAACATTTTGAAAATTAAAAACAATATTTAATTGTATTGACATTAGTGTCCATAATTTTTCTTCACAAAAACATTGTAAGTATAGTGAAACATATACTACATAAAGTGCTTCCACTTACATGGCCTCAATGTATTCTCCCAATAATCCTATGTGCTATTAAGTAAAGGATATCTTATTTTTATTTTACAAAGGGAAAAAATATTCAAGAAAACTTAATATATAGTATGAGAAACAAAATCAGATCTCTCCTGATTTTGACTCCAAATCAAATGTTCTTAAAGATCACCCTCAATGGCTCCTTCAATGAAGGATCACTCTTAAGTTACCAATGAAGTCACTTGATTGAATTAAATAAACCTAATTCCTCTAACTTTCCATTCTGAGTTAAGCTTTTCATTCATTAGATTATCAGCTAAAATTTCATCTTAGAATTCAAAACTTTCAATTTAAAAAAAGTCTTAATCAGAAATTGTTCTAGCCCTGATCATGTTATTCAATGGTTAGTGCTGATCCACACACCACTGAAGGGTCTCGTATTCGATTCCCAGTCAAGGGCACATACATGGGTTGCAGGTTCGACCCCTGGCCCTGTCGGAGCACATGCAGGAGGCAACCAATCAATGTGTCTCTCTCACATTGATGTTTCTCTCTCTTCTCTCTCTCTCCTCTCTTTCCCATCCCCTCTCCCTTCCACTCTTTCTGAAAATCAATGGGAAAAATATCCTCGAGCGAGGGTTAAAGAAAAAAAAAACTGTACCTAAATTACACAGATAAAATCTGAGTTGTGACTTAATTTAGTATAAAGACTTCATCTGATAGTTTAAAAATAGTAACAATCAGCCCTGGCTGGTGTAGCTCAGTTGGTTGCCAAAAGGTTGCCAGTTCGATTCCCAGTCAGAGAGCACATGCCAGGGTTGTGGGTTCAGTCCCCAGTAGGGGGCATGCTGGAGGAAGCCAATCAATGTTAGGCTCTCACATCTATTGTTTCTCTCCCCCTCTCCCTGCCTCTCTCTTTAAAAAACAATCAATAAACTATACTTTTTAAAAAAATACTGACAATTCTTCTTATATGACCATTTAAGTCAGTGGTTCTCAACCTTCCTAATGACGCAACCTTTTAACACAGTTTCTCATGTTGTGGTGACCCCCAATTTCATTGTTACAAATTGAACATAATTAAAGCATAGTGATTAATCACAAAAACAATATGTAATTATATATGTGTTTTCCGATGGTCTTAGGTGACCCCTGTGAAAGGGTCCTTCGACCCCCAAAGGGGTCGTGACCCACAGGTTGAGAACCGCTGATTTAAGTGCTATATCTTATACTAATCATACTCCTACCTCACAACTTTTTATTCTGTGTGGATTAAGTGGTCTTTCTTCATTATCAGTGTCTACTTCTGCCAGTCGCAGCATGTTATATATTGTATCCCCTGTAATCTATTAAATAAAAACAAAAATTTAAATGCAAATTATTACATTCATTTTTTGAAATAAGGGAACACTTTTGAAAATACATTTTACATAATTAAAAGGGAATTTCATATAATTATATCAGAGCATATACATTAAATAATGCAAACAAAGCAACTTCATCTTAAGAGGAAAAAGCCTAGATGAAGTCCAACCCCTCAATAAAATTTTTGTGAAATTTCCAATATATACTGGTACTTTTATTAAAAACGAAAATATTATGCCAAATAACCTTTTACTGAATGACAACTTTTCATTCAAACATCAGAAACAAATGTAGACTTTATAATAGAGTAAAACAAGCAAATAATAATGTGGTAATTGCTTTGCAGATAATATCTCATTTAATCCTCACAAATATCCTAAAAGTAGTTATTAACATTATCTTCATTCTCCAGATAAGAAAACTGAGGTTCAAAGAAGTTACAGAGCCCACAGTGATGGCCTTTCAGAATTCTAACCATTGTTAGTTATATAATGTGTAGATTATATAACATCAACTGTAAACAATGGTGCAGAATGGCAACCTAAATCTCATTTTATTAAACACTTATTTTTTTAAATAGTAGAAAGTAAAATCTATGAACATCAGCAACCTGTGTCAGAGTGGCTCAACTGTACCAATGCATACTTCTTAACCCACGTTGTTAAGTATTAAGCAACAATATTGTATTGCATGTTTTTAGCGGGACTCCTTTCATTCAACATTTATCAAGTTTTAAAATAATACCAATTTTATATTTGTGCTAAGTTTGTTTTTTCCCTTTCATCCTCCCAACATCCAGTTTTGCCTAGGATATGGAGAAACCATTCTTACCGAACCAGTAGAGGGAGCTGATACACTAGTGATGTCTAACATGCCCAAGACAAAACATACAGGGATGTAGTATTTATGAGAAGGGAGAAGAGTAAGAAAAGAAAACCTTCAGAAACCTTTTTAAGGAAAACTGTTAAAAATTCTATGGAAATGACATTCCCTGATATGATGTTGATTGTGTGCAGGATTAAATAATTATTACTGAAAGTAATATTTCAGGTAAACAATTTTAATGTTACTATAACTTCCACTTTAAACTTAAGGGAATTCATCATTAACAAAATAAACATTAAACTGCTAAGTTTTATTACCTCGGTGTCTTTCAAAAAACATAAAAAATGGTATCAGCTGAATGGCATAGTAGCTAATATGCTTAGTATGATTTTAGAAAAATAAAGTTTGAAGTCACAACCAATGTCTTATTTGAAACACACACAAAAATTCATAGTTCATTATAACAGGAATATAGTCTGTCATTTTTAAAAATAAATAAATATCCTAGGGAATAATTTAAGAAGGCAGCTCATAGATAAGTTGATCATATGTATCCCAGAAGCCTAATATAATGGACACAAACCTTTCCAAAGATGGTGTGCTTATTGTTAAGTTCATCTGCTCGACCCAGTGTAAAAAAAAACTGGCTGCCATTATCATGAGGACCAGCATTTGCCATGGCAACCAGTCCTCGCCGATTAAAACGCAATCGTGAGTGGAATTCATCCTGAAGCAAAAAAAAGAAAAGATTTAGTGAATGACCTCAGTGATAAGGCCCTTCATATTCATTTAACCAACAAGGTTCCATAAAGCTTCTAATAAAAAAAATGCTGAAGTTGTATTTAACTGTTTTTCAAGTTTAACCATATCTAATATTTACTATTCCTTCAATGCTATTAAACTTGACCTCAGTAGCCTGTATCTTCTGAATATACTCAGCTACAAATTTAGCCTATTTCGTGGAAATCTGCCTACTTACACAGACAAAGGGTACTTGAAGGGGAATGGATTTCTAAGAGTCATTCCCGTTTTCCCATCCCTCAAAGTCATCTAAGCTTTTAGAACCTTCTATTTTTCCTCCAAGAAAATTACCTTTGAATCACTGAAGAGTCTTCAACTATTGCCGCCCCCCCTCCGTCCAACCCATTCTAAGCCAGGAAACAATTGCTTCCTCCTTGTTTTTTTAATTCAAGAAATCTACTATGATTATGTTATGTGCTTTACTGTGTTTTTTAGAGTCCTAAATTGAATTTTTAAAGGGCAGTAGCAAGCTTTTTTAAGGTGGTTTCCTTGCCATGGTCAGGCTACATAACATAAACATTTGTCTCTTAGTTAATAGAATTTCTGTCCAGGTCGCATTCTAGACTCATTCATAATATAGTTGTTATATAATCAATACTTTTCAGAAAAGAGGCTATTTTCCCTTAACGAATAATTTTCAAGAGATTTAAACTCAAAGGATCATAACTCTGCATACTGTATTAAAAATGACCTAATTGAAAAATTTACCAAGACAACTCATTACCTGAACATGATTAGCAAAAATCTCAATTTAGAAATAAACTGCCAAAAAGAGCTATTCTGTTTCACCAAATAATAGAACAAAGGAATGATTCCTAGTAGGTGGAAGCTGTAAAACCGTAAGATACCTCAATTTGGTAAAATATAAATATGTGAGAAACTTTTATAATCATTCCACATTTTCTAAAGATACTATCATCTAGAAATTAAAGCAAACAAAAACAGTTCAAATATTTTTTGCAAGAATCACAGTGACCCAGTTAAATATTAAAGGAAACTCCAGGTACTCTATCCCATTAGTATAAACACAAAGTCTTCAAAAAACACCCATCTTTTAAGAGCTGTTAAGGTTTACTCATTCAAAGAACATGATATTGGTACTATCAGATTAACAAATAACTTAACTTTCAGCTTTTACCTGAACCCACTGTTATTCTTAATGTCTTAAGCATAACATCAACTCTTTTTTCTTTTTAAATCTATGTTGGTAATTAACAAACCACTGACCTATTCTTTATTAATATTCACTCCTTTTGATAACAATTTTATGTTGCTTCTTTCTTCTTTTCCGCTGAATTCCTGTTATGGCATGCGTTTTGTGCTACAGAGTTCTATCTGTTGTATAAAATTTAGAATTAAATCTATTATGAACTGAATTGTGCTCCCCCAAATTCCTGTTTTGAAGTTCTAACCCCAAGGTGACTATATCTGACATAGGGCCTGTCAAGAAGATCCTAAGGCAGCCGTGGGCAAACTGCGGCCCGTTTGAAATGAATAAAACTAAAAAAAAAAAGACCGTACCCTTTTATGTAATGATGTTTACTTTGAATTTATATTAGTTCACACAAACACTCCATCCATGCTTTTGTTCCGGCCCTCCGGTCCAGTTTAAGAACCCATTGTGGCCCTCGAGTCAAAAAGTTTGCCCACCCCTGTTCTAAGGGTTAAAGGAGGTCATAAGAACGAAGCCCAAATCCAGTAGGGCTAGTGCCCTTGTAAGAAGAAGAGACACCAGAGCTAGCGTGCGCATGTTCTCTCTCTCTCTCTTTTTCTCTCAATCCAGGGAGAGAACCTTCACCAGGAACCCACATCTTGATCTTAGACTTCCTAGCTTCAAGAATTGTAAAAATAAATTGCTGTTGTTTAAGACACCCTGTCAATGATACTTTGTTACAGAGGTCCAAGCAGATTGATACAAAGTTCATATAGTATTAAATAAAATGTTTTAAAATGGAATGGCATATGCAATGTTCTAAAAATGTTTTACATCTACAGAGTTGCAGAATCAAACATAGGCAAATATCAGGAAATATGTTATATCAGGTTTTTCTATTTTTCACTCACCGTTATCTCCACCTGAATTCAATCTAGCATAATAGTTTGTGATAAGACAACTTAGAAAGAATTCTTGATAGGGTAAGTGCTGTTATTATACCTGTGTAATTCTAATTATGTAATAGACACCGGATTTTGTGCAGTAATGTGAAATGCATTTTCTTCATGTGGGGCATAATTATTTTCAATTAAGAAATCCAAGCTGATTTGCAAATAAGTAATAATAATAAATTAGGTCTCACCTTGAATGGGGCTCCATAGATAGACTCTCCACCAGTTCCTGTGCCAGTAGGATCTCCTCCTTGGACTATAAAACCAGGTACAACTCTATGAAAAATGGTCTTGTCATAATATGCTGAAAGAAAGAAAAAATAATTTTTCAAAGTCTAAAACAAAGTGTATCTGTAGTTACCAGAATTACTACAACTAGAGTCATAAGGTTCCCCTCCCTTGAATGTTAAATAGGTTCCTAAACCAAAACCTTTTCTTCCCTACTTATTATAAAATATCTTCTCAAAACAGCACAATTTCCACAGAAATCATGGTGGTGGTGGTTTTTTTAAAATTATTTTAAGAATTCTCTCAAACTCTGGATTACAGTTTTCAAAATAAAAATTTGAGAGTTTTGGTATAGATCAATGGTTCTCAGCTGGGGGAGGGGGTATTCAGGAAAAAAGCCCCACCCAATTTTGTTCCCTAGGGGATATTTGTCAATATCTAGAAGTATATGGTTGTCACATGTGGGAGATGCTACTGGCATCTAGTGGGTAGAAGCCAGGAATACTCATAAACATCCTACAAAGCACAGGATGTCACCAAATAATTACTGGCCCAAAATGTCAACAGTGCTGAGATTCAGAAATCATAGTGGAGATCAATGCCTTCTTTCCTATTCTCCTCCTAGAAAATTAATTTACACAAACAATATACAAACCCAAAATATATCAAAAGTACTCATTGATTATAGGTCTACTATCAATGCACCACCCCCAGAGAAGCTTTCAATAATCAGCACAATATATAACTGAATCCAATTAAACTCTCAATAAGCTTGCTAAATGATTAAAAGAAAATATGAATATATATATATGTATGTAAATATATTATTTGGAAGCCATCAACATAAAAGATGATCATATATGATCTCCTAATAGTTACTATCTAGAACCTAGAATCATTCTGGAAACTTACTTCACAGAGGAGAAAGAATATGGCAGAATCATGACAGCTAAATGAGGTAAAGCATAAGCAAAGAATTTGGTGGGGGGTGAAAGGGAAAGAATTAGGGCTTGACTGAATCATAGAATTTATATTAATAAGTAGCAACAAGGGCCAATATGCATAAGAAAAAATTCTCAACATCTTTAATCATTAGGGAAATGCATAGCAAAACTACAATGAAATACTACTTTATACCCATTAGAATGGCTATCAATAAAAAAAGGGAAAACAAGTGTTAGTGAGGAGATAGAGAAACTGGAACCCTCTTACATTGCGAGTTGGGTTGTAAAATGGTATAGTTACTATGTAAGAATTGAACTGACATAATTACACAGATGTAATTACTGACATATGTAATAGGTACTTTGTGATACTTTAAGGGTCAAAACATGACTATGGTCTATCATCCTATCTAATAAAGAGGGAATATGCTAATTGATCCACGCACCATCGCAAAGATGGCGGCACCCACAGCCAATAAGGAGGGAATATGCTAATTGACTGCCACGCCCTCAAAGATGGTGGCACCCACAGCCACAAGATGGCCGGCAGGGGAGGGCAGTTGTGGGTGATCAGGCCAGCAGGGGAGGGCAGTTAGCGAGACCAGGCCTGCAGGGGAGGGCAGTTAGGGGTGACCAGGCCGGCAGGGGAGGGTAGTTAGGGGTGACTGGGCCAGCAGGGGAGGGCAGGTGGAGGCGATTGGGCCAGGAAGGGAGCAGTTAGGTGTTGATCAGGCTGGCAGGCAGAAGCAGTTAGGGGCAATCAGGCAGGCGAGCGGTTGGGAGCCAGCAGTCCCAGATTGTGAGAGAAATGTCCCCACAGGGATCGGGCCTAAACCGGCAGTCGGACATCCCTCGAGGGGTCCCAGATTGGAGAGGGTGCAGGCTGGGCTGAGGGACAACCCTTCCCCCATCAAGTGCAAAAATTTCGTGCATCGGGCCTCTAGTAATTCATAAAGTACTATGATATAGTGGCTGGCTTGCTGTCTTACATTTATAAGTTACAGATGGATATAAAATCCATATTTCAAAATATGTATTCTGTAATCTAACAACTTTATCCAGTACATAGGATGGACTGGAAGAAGTTGAAAGGAAGACCACTAATTTTTTTCAATCACTTCTCCCAGTGAAGAGCTGTTGGGCTATATTCACAAGAGCTCCCCAGTGTAGACAAGTTCTCCCTAGTTATAAATGTTAACTGTAAAAACCAAAAGGGGTAAAAGTATCTCTCCTGTATCCCTAAGTAACCATTTACTTGGATTAACACTGTATGCAGAAGTCAGGAATTCTTGAGTTTTGCTTCCTATTCGCTGTGCAACCTTAAATTCAATTTTTTAAATATTTTGATTTAAATATAATTGACATAATATTATATTAGTTTCAGGTATACAACATAATAATTGGAAACTTATTCAACATTGTGAAATGATCATTAATGACAATATCTAGTTAACATCTGTCACCATAGTTACAATTTTTTTTCTTGTGATGAGAACTTTTAAGATCTATTCTTTAGCAACTTCCAAAAATTCAATATAATATTAAGTATAGTATTAACTATAGTCACAATATAGTATTACCTATAGTACATGTAATATTCTCATTATAAAACTAATAATATAGGTGAACTCACAGAGTTGCTCTAAAGATTAAATAAGATAATGTAGAGGCAACCTATAAGCTTTCAAGTTAAACATAAATATGATGTCAAACTTTAATATTTTTACAAAAATATTCTACAAATTCCTTTTCAAATCTGAATATAAAACATAACCTAGTCTATATCAGAAAATGAAAATAATCCCTCAGGGCGGGGGAAGGGAGGGGAGAAAGAGAGAGAGGGAGAGAAAACAAACTACTGTTGTCCTAAGAGTCAAAACATTCTTGAAATGAACAGACCCAAGAATTCTCTGGGAAGCAGATTAAGACTCAGAGATCTATTAGATGTAAGGGAAGGGGGACATGAAAGAGGTCTTTGTTACTTGTGCTTTCAAATTTTAAAATTACCTATCCTTTTCTTTTCTGCTATTTCTAACGAAGCCTTTCAGAGATAATGGCTTTTTACTTTATGCTTTTCTTTTTTACTTTCCTAACTATATTCTTGTTGAATGACTAAAACTACACACACATTGAGTAGGAATTTTCTACAGTTTATCTACACCATAATTTTGTATTCATGGCTAGAATTTCAAATTTCCACAAAATTTTCATATCCACCATTTTTACTTCCTTGCAATTTATTAATAACTAGAGGCCTGGTGCTTGGGGTCCCTTGGCCTGGCCTACAGGATCAGGCCAAAACTGGCTCTCCAACATCCCCTGAGGGGTCCCGGATTGCGAGAGGGCGCAGGCCAGGCCGAGGAACCCCACCAGTGCACAATCAGGGCTGGGGTGGGACACGGGAGGTTGGCCAGATGGGGAGGGACCGTGGGAGGGCTCCAGGGCATGTCCGGCTTATCTCGCTCAGTCCCGATTAGCCGGACCCCAGCAGCAAGCTAACCTACCAGTCGAAGCATCTGCCCCCTGGTGGTCAGTGCATGTCATAGCGAGCAGTTAAGTGGCCTTAGCATACATTAGCATATTACGCTTTGATTGGTTGAACGGTGGACCAGACAACCGGACACTTAGAATATTAGGCTTTTATTATATAGGATTACTGTTGAACTATGCATTTCTAGTTTTCTATTTCCTTGCAATTAATTATTAATCATTTTGGAATTATGCATTTACCTTGTTTTTATAGATTACCATGGGCTTTAATAGATTTTGCTGCTTGCAATAAAGTTGACTGTCTTCTTAAATTGCATGTAGCATTCCCATAAGTATTTTAAAGAAAGAGGCTTTATTATTTCATTATGCCTGTTCATAATACCCTCCATAATTTTCTCCACTATTGAAAAAAGAAATTTACATATATCTCAAATATAAAATGAAGTTCTAAATTGGCAGTTCTGCCTCTGATATTAGTCATTATAGTTTTTATATCTAGCTGTGCAATAAATGATGTATTTTGACTAATTATATTTCCTTAGTACATATAGACATTTAGATTTGCATTTTTAAAGCACTTATATGTGTGTCTTCTAGAATCTTGTGTTTAATTTTGTAGAAATTACTACAAAGAACTCTTTAAAAACTCCTTTTGTGATCTGTCTGCCCCATTTACTTTAGCCTGTTTTTTTAACAAATATTTTAGTTTTGTCTTTTAATATCTTAATATATACTTATGTTTGTCACTTCTAAAGAGTTATTAAATTACTATTAAAGGAGGTAAGGGGATAAAAGGTAAATGATAAAGCATGGATCTTGGAGAAAAAAGGCTGAGGTAAATAGAAGTAAAGAGATTAATAATTGCATAAAGTTTTTTTTAAAAAATGGTTTTCTTATCTGCTTCTCTTTCTGCTCTCCCCTCTGCACTGCAGACCTAAAAGTGTATTCCTTCCTTATACTTCTGAGGAACTAATAAAATTCTCAAAGCTAGCAAGCTTCCCTTTCCATCTATCTTTTTCAACTACTTTTAAAAGTTAGATTAGTTAAAATTTTCACTCATTTTTAAATGTTCAACTATCCTGCAAAGACCTATAATCCAAGATTAAGTCTGTGTAATTACAGATCTTTTGATTTCATAAAAACTAAAACAATTCCCCCCAGACACAGAAAGACAAATATTGTATGCTCTTACTTATATGTAGTATCTAAAACAGTTGAACTGACAGAACCAGAAAGTAGAATGGTGGTTGCCAGGGAATTGAGGGCGTGGGGGGTGAAGAAACTCGAAGGATGTTGGTCAAAAGGTACAAATTTTCAGTTGTATGATGAATAAGCTTGGGGGATCCAATGTACAGAATGGTGAACACAGTTAATAATAGTGTACTGAATACTTAAAATTTGCTAAGAGAGTAGATTCAAGTGTTCTCATCACAAAAATATAAGAAAAAAGATAACTATGAGAGGTGATGGATATGTTACTAAAATTGACTGTAGTAATCATTTCACAATGTATATGTATATTAAATCATCACATTGCACGCCCTTAAAGAGTCATGTCATACAACCTAAATATATACAATTTCATCAACTGTACCTCAATAAAGTTGAAAAATAAAAAGCTCAAAACTTCCCTTCAATTGTGAAAACTTTTATTTGAGAGCTATAGCTGAGGCTGTGCTGCCCCTTCCCCATTTTCATTCATTTACTTTTAATTATGGAAACTATGTTTTAAAATATATATACAAGAATATTACAAGATCTAGAAATATGACTTGTTAAAAAATCATAAGTAAATAAATCATGGAAAGAGAAATAAAATGGGTTCTCGCCCAGCTGGCATGGCTCAGTGGTTGAGCGTCGACCTAAGAACCAGGAGGTTAGGGTTCGATTGCCTGGGTTGTGGGCTTGTTCCCCAGTAGGCAGTGTGCAGGAGGCAACCAATCGATGATTCTCTCATTGATGTTTCTATCTATCTCTCTTCCCTTCCTCTCTGAAATCAATAAAAATATATTAAAAAAAAAAATTTTAAATGGGGTTCTCTGAATCATATTTTTTAAAACCCTGACTTTATTTATTTACAAGTATCTTCATTTAAATTAGTCTGCTCGGGCTTCTTGTTATCCTTGGCAATGATAATTCTCTCCCTCACCTGTCCAATTAAGATAACTGCTCTAGTTATTGTTCTATTCTTTCTTTCTTCTTATATTTTTAGAAACAGAGGAATAATTTCTTATTGTTGCAATTAAGTTTCATCATTATCTAACTTAGGAAACTTCTTTCTTCTTCATTGTCATATTATATCCAGATGTTTCCTGCTTCTTCCATTTGCGTGGTCATAGACTGTAATCTACCATTCATTCTTTCTAATGTTTTTCTACTTTCCCTCTTCTACTGTAAAATTTGAGCTTTCAATTCTTCAAACTTCTTTCCAGAAACAAGTCTGACTCTTCTACTGTGTTGACTATGTTGACAGTTATTTGATGCTTCTAGACTGAACTACCTGTCTGACTCAATTTCCTTCCTGCCTGCCATAGCAATTATTAATAATGGCCTTTGCAGGCGTCTTTTTTTTTCTATCTTTCTTTTTTTCTCTTTTGGTCTGCGTATATTTACTCCTTAGATCTTCCCTGGTAATTATCTATTGTTCTAATTATCTATTGAAAGAGCTCTGTGCCCTCCTATTGGATATTTTTGATTCTCTTTCACACCTTGCTCTGGACTCAAAATGCTATTTTCTGAACCCTGATTAACCTTGTCTGTCTCTAAAAATCTGATATAACTTAGGACAATGACTTACCATGACTGGAGATATTCAAATCCATATGCAATGTATTCTAAATGCCAACAAGTTACCAAAATGCATGAAATGTTTAGTTCTGTAAGGAAATATTCTTAAGGGGAAAATACTCAAGTGAATGTATAATTCTGTGAAGTTTGTTAAAAAGAAAAATACTGCCTGGCTCTCAGGTGGTTGGAGTTCCATCCCATGCACTAAAAAGGTTGCAAGTTTGATCACCAGTTGGGGCGAGTACAGGAGGCAACTGATTGATGTTTCTCATATCAATGTTTCTCTCTCTCTCAAATCAATAAACATATCCTTGGGTGAGGATTAAACAGAAAAGAAAAATAGTCACTTTATGACTCAAATCTAAAACAATACTAGAGGCATTGATAACATCACTGAATGCTAAATGGAAAGCTTCATAGAGAAAGTGGAATTTTGAACAGACATTAAAAAGTAGGTAGACTTAAGCAGAAAAAAAGGAAGAGAAAGTATTTCAAAAAGGAAACTGAAGATATGAAGAAACTGAGGATTTGAAGCAGGTATGCATCTATGGTCATACCACCCTGAATGTGCCCGATCTCATCTTGTCTGAAGGAGGTCTGAGGATATGTGTGAAAGTGGGAATGAGAATGAACTGCTCAGGAGGTAAAGATGATCAACTAATACCATGGGGTTATTGAGTGCAATAAAAATAAAGTTGGAAAGCTAGGAAGCCATGCTGCGTGAAGATTCAACTACCAGATGAATAAAGAAGGTAAAGATATTAAAGATGAGTGGGAGGAAGACCAGGTAAAAGGCAATTACAATCATGTAGGTGAAAGTCAAGGCAGACTGGGGAAGAACCTGGTAAATTTGGTTTTACACTGGTTTTAGTTATAACTGACACTGGAAGATTTGAAGAGGAAAGTCCACTAGGCAATTTGATATGTAAATTAGAGCTAAGACGAGAAGAAATGGCTGGATTTCTAAATTTAATAGTCATTTGAATGAAGTAACAACTCAGGACTAAGGCAATAGAGAACTAGAGGCAATCGTAGGGAATACCCATATTTAGAGGATGAAAGAAAGAAGTGGAAAATAGCCAAGGACACCAAAAAGGATCAAAGTATCATTTGGTGAGTAAATTTCTCTGTTAAAGATATATAGATTTATTTATTAATTTTTTATCTCCTCTCTCTATTTCCTGAAACATAGCCCAACACCATATCACTCCTATTAACTCCTATCATCCATTACCACTATTTAATACCAGTCTTCAATGTTGTAGAAAAATACACTGCACTTTATTCGTAAATTAACAAAATTTATCCTGTAGAATACAGCTCAACAATTATGATTACCTTCCAAACAAAGCTGAATGAAATTTCTGCAAGCTTTAGGTGCTTCTTTTGACCACAACTCTATATCGATATCTCCAGCTGTAGTTTTCAATAAAACCTGTAGAAAGAATATAACCTCATTATATCAAATTATCGTTTTGCTTGATAATCAGTTGAATGACCTATCAACTTTGAAGCATTCTCTAATGAGTTTTCAATTTTAAAATAAAAATTAGAAACTTTGCTTGGCTCATAAAAATTTCAACTATTCATACAAGTCACTGTACATTTGTACCTTTCAAATACCATTTTCAGAAATAGTTTAGGATTTAAGAAAAATAGCATACACCTTGTTCAATCAAAGAAAAAAGCTCATTCATTTAAAAATCAATAATTTAAACTTATTTTCATCACGATAATTTGCCACAGCATTTCTTCTAATAAAATTGGTGTAGCAAATTAAGAAATTAAAGAACAATGAACACATGAAATTGTGAAACTATAAGACAATTTTACAATTACTCTTTAACATGTAAACACTCTATTTTCTCATTCAAACTCATGAATGAGAAAGTTTATAAAGGAATAGTCTTAATCGAATTCTGTGTTGTATATTATTAAAATGCTATGCCTGAAAATCGCCATTTACAGTAAATGGAATCTTTTGATAACCTCCTTTCTACCAGCTCATAAAGGCAGTTATTCCTTGGTGCAACCAGCCATCTTTTAAAACCAAAACCCCTACTGACCCCACAGGAGGAAACAGCTTTTAACCATCTTATTAATAAACTAGAGGACTGGTGCACAAAATTCGTGCACTGGTGGGGGAGATGTCCCTCAGCCTGGCCTGCCCCCTCTCATAGTCCGGGAGCCCTCAGGGGATGTCTTACTGACTGCTTAGGCCTGCTCCCCCCCCTTCCTCTGCAGGAGACGACCAGGCGATCAGGGGAAGGTGCTGTCCCCTTCAGCCCGCCACTGCTGCCACAGCTGGCCGCTGCGGCTGCCTGCTCTCGGCCCTCATAGCTGCCAAGGCTTTGTCCAGAAGGACGTCTGGAAGGATTCAGCTGTCCGGTCTAATTAGCATATTATGCTTTTATGAATTCGTGCATGGTGAGGTCCAGCCAGCCCGCTGGGGGTAGGAGTCACAGGAAGGCTCCAGGGCATGTCCGGCCTGTCTCACTCAGTCCTGATAGGCTGGATCCCAGCAGCAGGCTAACCTACCGGTCAGAGCGTCTGCCCCCTGGTGGTCAGTGCACGTCATAGCGAGCAGCTGAATGGCCTTAGCATATCATTAGCATATTACATTTTGATTGGTTGAACGGGTGACCGAACACTTAGCATATTAGGCTTTTTTTATATAGGATTATTGTAGAGGATAACCAAAAAGAACGTTAGACTCTAAATTTGACTATTGTGGCACAGTCGGAGTCCAACTTCTCTAGGATCACTTTTTCTCCCCCAATGGTCAATGATTTGTGACCATCACCATCATTTAGAATGTTTTTACAAATAAAGTATATGCAGTGTGACTATGTATTTAAAAACATGAAACTGATTCTCACAGGATGTCAGTATCAATGAGATAAGTCACACTTTTTATTTTCTAAAACTCCTTTACCTGATTTCCACAAATTTTTTAAAACTGGAAAGAATTTAAAAGTCATTCAGCTAAGCCCCATCACCCAATCCATTATACAGATGCCTCAAAGAAATTGTAAATTGCCCTGAGTCTGAGAGTTTGTTAATAGCAAAGCAGGAATAGCATTTCTCTCACTGTATTTTTGCTCAGTTGCCTTTCAATTTGTTTCAAAGGCCCAGATATTACCATAATTTATATAATATTGATGAATTTATTACATGCTTTTGGGCCTTTACTAGCTTCATAGTTCTTTCATAGATATTCTTTAATGACCATGGGGGTGGAGAGGTGGAAATATCTATATAATGGTAGTTTTTATTTTTAAAAAAGTTAATATCCTATATAATAAAAGCCTAATATGCAAATTGTCTCAACCAGGAGTTCAACCGGGAGTTTGACTCCTCGCTATGACGTGCACTGACCACCAGGGGTGGCGCGGAATATGGCAGGCATCGGTGATGCGGTGCTGGTAGCGGGCAGCAGTGGGGGCACTGCCGGACCCGATGGGCCCTGACGAGAGCGGGACCACAGCGGGATGGTGGAGCAGGTGAGCGGGTGGCGCCAAGCCAAAGTGGGTGCGAGCAGTGGCCCGATCGCCCTGCAGACTGCGACCAGCAGCAGCAGCGGGGGGCAGAGCTGCCTCCCGACTCCCAGGTGCTGAGGGAGCCAGGCGGCGGGGGGGGGGGGGGGCCCGGCCCCTGATCGATCACCCCGTAGGCAGGATGGTGGAGGTGAGGGGGCGGCGCTGACACTTCCATTACAAAGAAAGGGCAAATAGCAATATTAAAGTATTTCTTCTAATTATTTTCCTTTCAATGTGCATGAATCCATGCACCAGGCCACTCGTATTATTATATTATTGATTTCAGAGAGGAAAGGAGAGGGAGAGAGATAGAAACATCAATGATGAGAGAGAATTATCAATCAGTTGCCTCCCATACACACCCCAATTGGGAAGAGAACCCACAACCTTTTGGTGCACAGGTCAATGCTCAAAAACTGAGCCACACTGGCCAAGGTGAGTAAATGAACTTATATGTTCCTTTTTATATATTAAATACTGCATGTAAACAAGTAAAGGACAAAATAAATACAAAGAGAAGTACAGTAAGTAGGTCTTTGGGTTACGTCGGAGATCCGTTCCTACGGCGCCACGTAACACGATTTTCACCGTAAATCAGAACCCACCTACATAAGCACCTACATCACTCACATGGAGCACATACACAGCAGTAATGAAGTAAAACAGTAAAAAAAAAATTAAAAGAAAGATAACAATTCCTGACCTTTACTTGTGGTAAATAAATAATAAAAAACATAAAGCACATATGTACATATGTCAAAATGACAGAACTTTTTGTATATAAATAAATGGGAGATGGCGTAACCACGAAACGATGTACTTTGAGTCCGACGTAACCTGAGGACTGCCTGTATGTAGATTTTCTCCCTGTATCTCATGGATGATTTTCCACACCCCTGGAGTGTGTACTCACTGGTTTAGAAACCACTGCTCTAAAACACAATCAAATGCACATTATCCCCATCCCTTTACAGGCTCGAGTCAGGCTGCTCAAATTCAAATACTGACCCATCTGCTTATGAAGGGTAAGGTAGCTTCCTTACCTTGGGCATGATGTCTAACATTCCTGTGACTCAATTTCCTTATCTAAAACCAAGAATAAGAATAATCTCATAGCTTTGTTGTGATGATGAAATGAGTATTACACTAGGTACATAAACTGCTTAGAACAGCACTTGACAAAATAGTAAATGTTCAAAAAATGGTAGCTGTTATTGTTGTCATTGTTTTCATACAATTTTTTTGGACACATACCACTTACATCTTGTGGTATGCAAAAGAATGCATAAAAGTAAGGTTGGGTCACCTTGCTTACCAGGGTTTCTTAATCTTCACTGATAAGCTACTGAATTAAAACAAAAAAAAAGACACATGGCTCCCTCCTCCTTTGGCCATGCATACATTCCTATTGGCCATTACATTTTGTCAGGCATCAGTAGCTTCTTTTTTTTAAATCTTCACATGAGAATACTTTTCCGTTGTTTTTTTAGAGAGAATGAAAAGGGAGGGGAAGGAAACATCGATGTGAGAGGGACACCTCGATGGTTTCCTCTCCCATGTGCCCCAACCAGGGGTGGGGAACAAACCCAAAACCCAGGTATGTGCCCTTGACTGGGAATCCAACTTGCAACCATTCAGTGTGGAGGCCACTGGCCAGGGCAGTGGCTCCTTTTCTTAAAGCTTCCAAATAAAACAATACTTTGATAGTAAAATGTTTCTAAGAATAAATGTTAATATATAATTTAGATTAAATTATTATATGTGGAAATTTAATCTTCAGTGAATAAGGAAATTTCTATCAAGTAGTTCATTTCTGTGCCTCATCTTCAGAAGCCAGAATTATAGCACAACAGCAAAACACAGCATATTTATGTACAACTGAGGGGGTCAACCAGTGTCATCATGCATCAATTACTTCTCAGGGTGATATTATACTCTTTGAAGAGAGGAATTTTGTTCCACTTTTTCTGAATACTATCTCTATATCCTTTCAGTACTTAATGTAACATTAGAGTATAAACACTAAACATTCATTGAGCAAACTTATTACATCTGCTTTGAATTCTTCCCAAACCGAAAAATATTTTTAAGATTTTTTATTGATTTTTAGAGGAAGAGGAAGGGAGAGAAAAAGAGAAACACTGATGTGAGAGTGAAACATCAATTGGCTGCCTCCTGCACGCCTCCTATTGGGGATGGATCCCACAACCCAGGCATGTGCCCTAACCAGGAATCAAACTAGCAACTTTTTGGTGCATCGGACAAAGTCCAATCAATTGAGCCACACCAGCCACGGCTCCAAACCAAAATTTTTGCCATGCTCTCTATGAACTTGGGTACAGAACTTTGTAACTTCAATGTCTTCAATCAGCCTTAGGCTGGAAAAAAAGTCCAAAATTGTTTTTGAAGTAAGACTTGAGTCATGTCTGATATTCTCCCTCAACCCAATTCTGTTCAGGACAATATTTATCACAGTTTGCAGACACTTATTTGCTTGATTATTTGGTCAATATACATTTCATTCAACTGACTCCATTATATTAGGGACAATGGTGGTTTTTCTTTTCATTGGTATCTGAAACCGAACATAGAGCCAGGCACCTGCTAGATGCTCAATAAATATTTGTAGAATGAAAGATCTCCTGTTCAGGCAGTACCTTTGTTAAAGGTTTTCATCTTTATGACCATGTAAAATCTTTCTCCAGAGTAAAGCAACTAAATCTGCCCTTGACAAGCAGCAGTATAACCACAAACTCACTGATGCTTGATATTTCTCAGAAGAGAGAAATAGTATTTATTAATTCATTCATTCAGTACATATTTGAACATTTCCTACCATGTGTCAAGTACCATTCTTAGATGTTTATCTCTGCTTTTGTAGTGCTTGCATCCCGGGGAAGGGGAGGTGAGACGGGAGGAGAAAGATAAGGGGAGGAGACAATCTACACTAATAAAAGAGAAACATGGTAATTAGCGTACAACCGCTACCCTTCCCATTGGCTAATCAGCATATCCTTATGCAAATTAACTGTCAGCCAAGATGGCGGCCGGCAGCCATGCACTGAAGCGAGCAGGGAGGCTTGCTTGCTCCAGTGACAGCGGACTCCAACGTTCCCCGCCT